TCATTGAAGCATGAGTCGAATATATTTTATCTGAACAGCAGAGCAGCCATGGCCAGGAAACAATGCCCAAGTGGGGGGTCCTTGTGGGATATTCATCTGCTCACTTCTTTTGCGTATATTCCAGCAAAAAAGCTCCCAAACTAGGGATGGGGAAAATCAGCGATGGGGAGTCAGAGCCACACAATGCTGAAAATGCTGCTCAATTTCATTATTATATTTTTATTACGTGCTTACGTAGCACCTCCAATCGTTTTCAAAATTAACTGTCTCCCATGGTCCAAGAAGGGAGTGTTTCGAAACCGAATCCTTGGAAATAAGAGATCGTGTGTGATTTGTCAGATATGGTCGCATAATTATCACAGGTACTCGGAGATCGAATCACTGTAATAGAAAGTGATTATTCAGGGTGATGCTTGTTTACGCAGTTGGTCGTGTCTAGCTGTGTTTGATCGTGTTCTTTTAACTTGTGAAGGCTGATATGCCAGTGCTCCTTAAAGCCCATATTACACGCAATCTTAACTTTGCTGATCCGCAAAAGCCCGGCATACTTACCGCACAGATTGCCCAAAAGTTTGCACGCTTAGGCGGATTAAATGTGCCAGACCAAAGAAGCTGGTGCGATATCCACCGATCTCAAACGGATCCTGGCATTGCGTCCCTAACCCCACAATGTTGGATCTGTCACGATCCAGGAGTTTGAAGCTTTGTGAAGGTCTCTCTGAGGTCCGAGGTCCCTTTCCAAATGTTGTCGCGGGCTCTTCCAAGACCTTGGACCATTTCAGGAATTTTCGTGAGAAAGATTTTGAAATCTGGGTGTTTTTACTAGTTTGTTAAAGGATCCTTTGGGATCTGATTTTGCCTTGCGAGTCACGCAAATGTCTACTCACAAGTGTGGATACGACTGGGGCTGGTGGTGATGATACCCAATGGGTTTGGGCAGATTCGTCTATTGCCGTATTGCGTCTATTTGAAATACCACGAGGACAGATTGGATCCAACTGAAAATTATTTCGGATCCAGTACGCATATCGGATACATCGCATCCAGTGTGCGCAATGAAGGTGACTGCGTCCTAGTTCAAAACACCGGGGTATCTCTCGGCAACCGACGCACCCTGCCGGATGAAGTAAGTAGACAGTTTTTCACGATTTTAAGGGTACCTTTGTAGGTCTCTATCTCGGACAGTTGTTCCCCACAGATGTCAGGCTATCGAGTACTGCCAGCCGTCGGCCTCCAGGACGCAACGCCAAGAAGGTAGCCATCACATCACTGGTCGGTAGGATGCACATTCCAGAATATCGTGGATAGACTCGACTATGTCTGGTATCTTGACCACCTTAAGAGATACAAACAGGGGAATGGTCACGAGTAACACTTAGGGACGTGGTTACGTCCACGCACTCTAGGTCTACATCCGAAAGGACATTGATGGGGTTACTGGGGCATTCTTCAGGGCAGGGAAGGGAAATTGTTATCCCTATCCTGTTATCAAATCGCAGTTCGTTATCTTGCAGATTGCGGGCATTTGCTTTTGATCGTAAAACAAAGACGCTTGGGGTCATCAGTGACAGAAAATTACCGCAAAACACGAATATTTGAAACGCATATGGTATTCACGCCATATGGTGGACTGGGGCGCACCAAGGATTTGACAATGGGGCAAAACTACTGGCTTAGCTGCAATAGTACGTTAGAGCGTAGCATGCGTGCGAACCGCCCGGGATGAAGTTCAACATCATCACTTTTTTCCATCTACTTATTGCCACGTACCTATCCCGTATTTGTATTGTCAGCATGCCTCCACACGCATATAGCATGTAAACATGTCATGAACGGACCGGTGCGTGCTCTAAGTGTCCGCTTGAACGCGGTCTTGGCCGACAAATTCCCAAAAACAATAACGGTGCCAAAATTGTATGCAGATCACACTGGAGTCGTCAGCCCGCTCTCCAGGACCACGTCCGAACGCTGCGGTCCCGGCAAGCAACACAAAACGCATTTTACCAGATTCGTGACCGCTCACGAGTGTACGGAGGCAGCGCGATCATATCTGTCGGCCGCGTCGCATTGGTGTCGGTATCTGCCAGCGGGTGAGTGATCCACGCTGGGTATATCTGTCGCGGGTCGGCGCGCGCCGGGCCGCCGCAGCGCCCGAGCGCGGAGCCTTGGCGGCCTGAGCGGACCGGAACAGCGGAGCGCTCTGCGCATGCGCAGGGTGACGCAAGGCCGGCGCTGTAGCGTCATAACTGGGAGGCAGGAGCGGCCCCCGGTCTCCGATCGCTCCTCTTTAGCTTGGTTCGTTCAGATCAAGCGACACATCGTATCGCCATTCACACACGATGATGAACTAATCCACTCGCACGCACCACTCAAGTGCGGTCACAATTCTCCCCTCGTGACGGAGTCGGACCGCCCCTGCCCGGGTGCGCAATGGGGCCTCAGCGCACGGCGCATGCGTCCGTGGCTGGCACAGCGAGCCAAGCCAGACTGAGTCGATCAACCGGCCGGGGAGGTCTGCCGTCGGGGGCTCTGCGGTCCGCCGAGCGTGCGTTCGATTCGCTTTGCCCTCTTATTCGCCATGGCCGGCAGCAATGACTGATTCTGAGGTGAGTCGATAGTGGCGCGGTCACGTGACCGACGTTAGGCCCCGGGTGGGGCCTTCGGGCGCGTTCGGGCCAGTCACGTGGTCTGCAGCGTGACCGGGTCAGGTCGGTGGGCGTGCTCGCCTGCTGTTGTGGCTCGCAGGTCATGCGTGGGTGACCAGGTGTCACCAGGTCAGACCAATGCACAACCCCAGAGGCGGCTTTTTCGCCGTGCAGGACCCTCGTTTCCGCTGCTGTGTAAGCATCGTCTTGTCCCGGTGGCCGTGACCTGGTCGGCTCCTGGGTCACAGGGCCGCCCCAATGCGTCCCGCTGGTGACCACAGCCAGTTGTGTACGTGGGGGTAGTGTGGAACTGAGCCTCGCGTTCGGCAAGAGAGCGGAGATGCCGTGAGCTGCGTTATTAGGCCCAAGATCAGTCTCCTATGCCCAGTATGCTGCGTGTGCTGTGCGTGTACCTACCATGGACAGTCTGGATGTGGGGAGCGTGCTGGGGTTTGAGCTCACAAAGTTGTCGCAAATGTGGTGCTAACAGTGTGGCTCACAAATCGAATGGCTGCATGGTGGTGTCAACGCGGCTGTGTCTGAGAACCGATTTCATCATAGGGGTCTGGTCCGGTGCAACTTGCGCTGTCGCCTGTGTGTGTTCATGCTAGGCTTACGCCTGCGTTTAGTGCTGAGTGGTATCCATGCCATCCAAGAAGATCCGGGAGCATCTCAGTATTTGGTCCCATAACGTCACGTATAATTGCTAAAATTATATATGCCGACAGGTGCATGTTTCGAACTGTTGCCGGCATTGTGCAATTTGTCAAGAATTTGACCATTTTTGGCGTTTTTATGGAAGCATCCAATGCGTTGACTCCGTTGACGTTGTATTATCATCCATTGATACTCCTCTCAAAAGAGCAATGTGTTCACTAACACAAGAATGACCTCAGCGCATATCTCGGATAATTAAGAAGCAAACATCGCGCCTTATGAGAAGTTTACGTGGCCACGATCACGGAGCATGAGTTGACGGATTCTACACAGCAGCTCAATATTTACACTCGTGCCGCACCAGCGTCACGAGCTTGCTACCAAAGCTCGCCTCCAGCCGGTGCGGCCCGGCAGTCGGCCGCGAGGGGGCGTGCCGCACGGCCGCGCCGCCGCTGGGTCAGCACCACCGGCGGCAGGTCGCAGCGGCGCTCCTCCGCGCGCCGCCCCTGCCCGGCCCGCCTAGATGGCGCTGCCGGCCGGCCGGCGGCCGCAGAGGCGCGCCGCGGCCACCGCGGCGCCTGGTCTCCGCCGGGCCTCCGCCGGTCGGACCGGACTCTCCGGAGCTGGGCAGCCGGCGGTGCCGGCCGCTCGCGGCCTCGCGGCCCGCTGGTCCGCTGGCTGGCCGGGGTCCGTGCCCTCCTGAGGCTCGCAGCGCTGTACGCGGCAGGAGCCTCGCTGGGCTGGTAGCGAGCACCGTGACGTCCGTTTCCACTTCGGGCGTTGGAAGGGTTGGGAAGGGCCTGTTCGGGGAGGTGGAGTGGCGCAGAGGCTGCGGTGAGACCTTGGACATTGGCGTCGCCTCGGCAGCCGGGCAGCTGGCTCTGCCGGCATCCTGGCAGACGGGCGAGTCGTCTGCCATGATGCACGAAGCTTGAGCAGAGGCGTCGCCAAGGGGGACGCTTTAGGCCTGCATATTTTACTTCTTCCAGCACCGTAGATGCTCCTGACAGAAAGGAGGAGAGAAACGTGGACAGTTCTCATTGAGCTCCTTCCCCTCCCGCAAGAAAGTCCTGGTTGCGCCCGTGAGCTTGCGCAGTAGGTCTGCGCGGGAATGTGAAGTGACAACAAGTGACGAAATTTGCTTGCGCAGCCATGGATATGGACAAGAGACGTTTCGATGCGTTTCCCTTCGGACGTTTTGATAGTGAACTTTCGCACGCGTCTGTAGATTCTGCCCCAAAACATTCATCAGCTACACGGACGAATATCTACGTAGACGTTTTCTCAACGTGAATTACTGCCATACGCTCAGCTCATGATGGGGTATTTCTCCATCTTTGAAGCCGTGTGCGCACACGACGAAGACTCATGATAAGCCAGCCAACGTTTGCGCCGTGGTGGGGACATCTGCGTTGTCGGTGGTCTGGCCATGCACGTACGGCGTGATCAGAGCATCCTGATCCAGAACTGCGACCCTGCAAATCCCACCTCGTGTTAAAAAGGGGAACACCGATCTCAGGTGTCCTCCATAACGTGCCGGCAAGGACCAGCCGCTGGCGAGCTTCAGACATGTCAGTGCAGCTGGTCCGCTGGCCAGCTTCAGACATGTCAGTGCAGCCGGTGAGACTTGCGGGCTGGCCGGGTGTGACCCGTGGGCACTGACCAGGGCTGTGACCTGGGCACTGACCTGGGCTTGGGCTGACACTGGGCACTGGACCAGGGCTTCAGCTGCTTCTCAAATCTCAGTGTGGCGCTAATGAGACAGATGGAAGATAAGTGGTGTCATCCAGGGTATGTGCAGTGCTGCTGCAGTCGGCGTAGATGGATTTCTCGGTTTGTTGTCCTTCCGTGTGCCACAATAATTAATGTACCATTATTAGGATAGATGTATCGACATCTAAATTTCTTCCAAGTGCTGCCCTCCTCCACCAGGCCCCAACTTGCGGATGTTTCCGCTTGCTATAGTTACGTCGCTAACCCTACGCCACATGACGAGGCGGCCGGCGACGCGGCATCCGCCGTCGCGCACGGCATCCCGCGGTCCCACGCGTCATGACCTACCCCAGCCGGGTCCGCTTGCGAGCGGTCATCCTCATCGCGCTCACGAGCTCAACCTCGGATCAAACTTGCTCACTGGTGGCCGGTCATTGGATAAGCCAACGCAAGTTAGCGTCCGGTGGGAAACGTGACAACGCATTATCTGAACAGTGGCACATTGCATCTTTGGTCGTTGCCGCTGTTCTGAACCCGTCACATGCGACCCGCTGCCTTTGCAGCGGCCAGCAGCACCAGTTTACCCTCGAGCGTCCCCACTCGTCTCCGACCGAGACTCGGTTCCACTTTTCTGGGCACCGACGCGCCTCATTCGCGCGGAACTCATCAACGGACGCGACTCTGTTGCCATAGTTACGTCGTCGTATAGTGACATCTGCGCGCCCTGCGTTGAAGTTTCGCAGCCGCCGGCCCTCCCGGCGCAGCCTGGCTGTGGTGCCCAGCACGCGCCTTTCCGCGAACGGCCCGGCGCCGCCGGCAGCGCCACCGATCCGCTGCGACGGCGGCGCGAACCAAAAACTCGATGTGCTCTGTCTGCGCCGCGCCCGGCCTCGTCGGCTGGCGGGCGGCTGCCGGCGCCAGGCGCGGACATCGCACCCGGCTCGCGTGCAACGAACGCGGGCCACTCTGCGGAGGCGTCGCCATCGACGCCGGGCTCGCCGGAGACGGCGTTTGGAGCGGACGACTCGGAGCCTGGTCCGCCGGTAACCTTGGGCGGCTGTGACGCCAGCACGGCCCATGGGCCGGCGGGGTCGCCGCGCCGCGCGCGGGCGGCCGAGGCTCGGGAGCCGCCGGCCGGCCGCCCGCGCCCCTCCTTTCACTGCGCGCGCGGGACATTCCTGCTGGGGGAAACCGTGGGGACGGTGACGGGAGGGAGCACGGACGCAGACTGCGGGGATCCGGCCGGGGGAGCTGTTGGCGTTAACAGGACGCGTCGCGCCCGTGCTGACCATGCTACACAAAACGCGTGATTCGCGCGGTAAGCATTGCCGGCTCCATCCCTCGTACCTGCGGAGTTGCCCGCACACTGCAGCGCGCCATATCAGGGGAGGTGCGTTCGCGGGGCGCAGAGGCGGCGTCGCGGCTCCCGTTCGTGACGCACGGCTCGCCCGCCTGGCAGCGGGCTCCACCGACGGTCGCCGCCGCCGCCTCTGTCTGGCTCCGACCGAGCCGACGCGCGGCGATGGTCGTTTTCCCCACCGCCACCCTGCGATTCTGAGCCTTACTGCCAGATCGAAGCTGGCGTCGGCCGCCTACGTTTATTCCCGCAGTCGATAGGGCCGAACGTTTTTGTTTTGCGCCGTTGCCAAGGCAGCGGAGCAGGCGATTGTGGGCCTTACGGCGCCAGCTCCCGCCTGAACCTCCAGTTGGAAGCCGGCCAAGGCGCTGCGTCGTCCCGCTAGGAAGGCTAGACGTCGGGCGAACACCATGAAAGAGAATCAGCTGTTAGGGCGCGCCGTTTGTAAACAGCGGTGGGCAGCGCCAGTTGTCGGTTGGTCACCTTGCGAGTCTGTTCGGAGGCTGCAGCGCCGGGCGTACCCGGGGAGGCCGCTGTGCGCCGCCGTCGTGGTCGTTTTGGTGGGATCCGAGGACGGCGGAGCGACTGCGTGTGTTGTCGAGATTTCGTGATTGGCAAATAGTCGTGCTTGATTGAAATGTAGATGCGGCGCGATTCACGAATAAGTTGTGTTGGACCGGAATGTAATTGCTGCTTTGAGGTTGGATAGTCTGGCTTGCAAAATTTGCAGGGTTCTTCCGATGACGCGTGTTCCACTGAACCGCTGATCAAAGTCTCAAGTCTTGCCCTTAGTATCATGCAATGTGTGATCGTTGCACTTTCTGGATTTTGTGTCCATGCAGTTCAGCAAGATAATGGTGAAGACCTGCGTCTGATACAAGTTGAACGGATCCTGGGCATGTACTCCACACATCGTACAGCGTTACAAGACACTAGTCCTGATGTTATCTCACTGCTGGTCCTGTTCAGCTAGTGCTGTGTGATTTCCATTGCACCTACCTTATATGGAACGTTTCAATTTGAGCTCGCTAGGCCCACCTTGCCTGACACTTTTCGTATTTTCTTGTAGAGCGACAATGTCTGCTTGTCTGCATTCACCGAAAATTATTAATCGGTAAATGGTGATGTACCAGCGATGGACCACATTTCTAGTTGCAATCATGACATCGTCAGTGCGTTCCGGTACGATATCCCACGGTTACTGAGCCCATTGTACATTTCATGTTTATATTGAGAAGTTATCTGTGCAACGTAGCCGTAAGTCGCGTGGGGGCGGTGTGTTATTTAGTCAGCTTTTTGCCCCGAGTTTACGTAGCGTACCATGAGCCGCTCGTCTCGAGCTAACAAGTGAAATAAAAATGAAATTGAATGCATCTGAAAACAGGAACGGGCTTCAGCAGAGCCGAATATGTCACTGCGGATCTATATGTGTGTATGTTTCGTTATTGCATGTACATATTTCATTACAACCGCTATAAATGCCTTTTTACTTAAAAATAGTTAGTGTAAAAATCATGCACGTGGGCGAAATTTATGTTCGAGTTTATGGGTGGCCTTTGAGCTGCTCGAGGCTGCTTCTTAATTTATTGCCTGGTGCCATTCGTGGTGGGTATCTGTCTTTATGCTGCTTGTGGCAGTTTCCACTTCGTGATGATGTGGTGGATAATTGTGGTGTGAAAGCAATCTATTAATTTAGCACGCGCTTTTTGAAATAACCAGGCCCTAGCATGCAAGATGATCGGGTTTTGCAACGCTGTTCTTCCCCGTGTGGTCTCGAGCTGTCGCCGCGGCTGTAGTGGGATTTTTAGGCGGATCCTCGTGTTCATGTTTATTTTTTTCCAGAATGAGCACACGTCTCATTGACCACACCAGTTCGACGTCATCACATCTTGATCATCTGATGTATTGCCATTTTTGCGCTTGGTATTCGGCCGTAACGGGGCAGGCAAATACATGGTCGTAATGAAAACCGGTAGGGGCGCTGCTTTGCTCCTGTGCATTGGACCGCGCTGATGCAAAAACACTGAAGCGGCACCATGAGGTAGGGAGAAATTTCTAGCATAGAGAATTGTGCCAAATGGAACAGAAGAGTGGGTCGTAACTTTCCATATGTTGAACTCGCAAACGGTTCTTGGTGACTCAATCCCTTCAGGTAATTAGGTTTTATATAACTTTATACCAAAGCTCAGCAAAGCCTCTGCGCCGTGCGTGATAAATTGCCTCATCACCCGAACGCAGCTCAAAGCGGTTGCGGTCTACAACGGATGTTTGACGTCAGATCACGATGTCTGAACACGGGGTTTGCTCCACCGTTGCACGTGTGATACCTTAACTGATAGCACCCTGCAGAACGCATCGTCTCTTAACACACGTCTTGTTGCTCTCCCGTGTAGAAGTCAGGCGACGAGGTTCGGGACTGGCTGTCAGTGTTAAGGTCTAGCCCGAACCCGGTCTTAAGTGAGGATCGCTCATACCCGAGTCCACCCCGGCGACGCAGTGCGCCGAGGCTTCCCGCCGCGTCCGGCAGCGTCCGTCGCCGCCTGGCGTCGCCTCCGCGCCGCCGGAGCCGGGCCGGGGCCGCGGCCGGGTGTGTCCGCGGCGGCCCCGGCGTCACCCCGGCCGCAGCTGGCGGGGAGTGCCGCCGCTCGCCAGGCGGCGCTGGCGACGCGCCGGCGACAGCTGCGCACCGCCGCTGACGGCGGCTCTTGACGGCGCCGGCCTTCCGAGCCTGGCGGGCCTCAGACCTCCGTCTCGGTCCTCCACATCCTTTTCGACCGAGGTTGCCGCCGGCAAACCACCAGTGACCACCCGCCGCTGGTGGGTGGCTGGTGGCCGGGACGAACAGACCGACCTCGGCTGCGGCGCCGGCTGCGGCCGACGGGCGGCCGCCGCTCGCCAGCTGGCTCTGGTTAGCCGGCGTCTCCAGAGATGGCGCCAGCGGCGGCCGGACCCGCTCTGCTGCGCCTTTGTCCGCGGTGCTGCCGCCTGAGTCAGACCGGACTGGATCTGGCAGCGCGCGCCGCGGCGCTGCCCCGGGACCGGTTTTCTCTCCGGCGTCGCTCCGCTGCACCTCTCTGCAGGCTGCAGCCGGCCGTCCAGCCGAACGGCGGCCCGTGATGACGTTCCGACCCGGAACGTTGCACAGAGCTTGATTGTGAAATGCGCCGTTATATGCCGGAACCGGTGCCGTTCTTTTTTGAAAGTTGTCTTCGTGTTATCGTTTACTTTGGTCATATGTTGCACTTTCGACGCTGGCAGTACCAAACAAAATGCATGTGGTAGCAAGTCTGAAATGGGCGGAGAAAGGATGAACAGTGACGAAACTCATCGTTGGTTGTCGGGCGTATGGAATAAGCTAGTGAACCTTAACCTGGGAACAGTTTGTTTCATCGTCACGCACGAATTCACTATCTTAAGTTCGCCGCGCGCTAATTCTCTCTCTTAAGTTTGCAAATAATAAAGAATGGCAAACATAACGCGACGAACAGGTATATGTTGGTGAAGTAATAATAGCTACGGAGTAAATATTTGTGGCTATTTTAACGCCCGGATGATTGCTTGGCTTTCCCGTCTCTTTATCTGTTCTGTCGTGCACTTCAGATTTGGTGCCAAATTAGGCGCTGTCTAAAAATGTTGGCGTAAGAAGCTGTTGTAGGAAATATTCCTCCATGTTACGGCATGGTATTGTGCCTCAGTTATTCATCCACATTTTTTGCATGAAATCGCATTTGATATAGACCTAGTGCCGATAGTTCAGGTCTAGCTGAACGATTCAGAATTTGGGCATGCATACATAGATTTTCTGCATATGTATTTGGCACTTGGCTAATGCGGGTGAGATTTGAAGCGTGAGTAACTGATTTTAGCTAGCTTGTTAGCCTTCTAGACAGAAAACAGCGCAGCTAGATTGCCAGGACAAGTTAGGTGCCTGCCTCGTCGGTGCTACCACTTCCTTCAGAATCGCACCTGCACTGAGCATCCTGACGCGACGTAACAGCACAGGTGAAGTACCTGTTCCAGGGATCGAAGGGGGGGGGGGTTGTAATGCAGAAGTACCCAGGCTCAAATGATATGGAAGTTTTGGTCTTCTAGGATGTTTTTGGTGATATGGTTTTTGACTTTTCAGTTGACTCCACTTGTGTGCCGTCTTCGGTACGGTTTGATATCGATGCGGTTTTTTCTGGGTTCTTTTGTGGTTTTTGCGGCCAGGTTCTCCGCGCATTACTCTAAATAACATAGGGCTTTGGTAATGCCATTTTTGCGACGAAAGGCTCTCATCAGAGCCATGTGTTCCATATTGCAACCGTACCTGAAGTGTTGTCAGTAATAATGGCTCGCATCAGAATCACGTACGTAAAACAGAAACAGGATCGACGTAAAACATTGCGACATAAGAAGTCACATGTACTGAATACATGCTAGTGCAGTGATAGGATGCCACACGGTGAGCAATCACTTCGTAAACGTAACGCAGTTTTATATCATGCAACAGTAAACGATAATCTGATGTGGTGAAAACTTCCTTGTATCCCACAGCAGAAACGCTAGGAGAAGGCCGTTGTTCTCTCTATGGGCCATCATCGTCTGCGTGCGGGCGCGGTTGTTTTTATATCTCTCGGAAATAACTGGGTAAGTGAAATGAAAATTTTGAGCTCGTAATGAAGACTGGTTTACCGTAATTTTCCGGCCTTGTTTTGTATCTTCAAATTTTTCGTGAGCCACGTTTGAAGAGATCTGTCATTTCGGCGTTAACGTGGCTGTCGGGAAGACGACTATCTCACATGTGCTTCGGATCAAGATTTGAGGCCGTGGCGGCATGAATGCAAACATGCCAATGTTTGACGTTTTCGGGATTGAAGGGTCCAGGGTGCTAGTTTTTAGGGTTGAAAAACTTAGCTTTGGCATCAAAGGCCTCTATTCTTTCTCAAACAGGAAAGCGGTGGGCGTAATTTCGCTGCAGTTCGCAAGCAACCAAGTTTAAACATTTTTTAAATCATTTAACCCGCTTTCTTTATAATTTGCTCGTCATATAACCAGCTTTCTAGGCCAGCTGCCTGAGCCGGTCGGTCCCTTATTCCAAGCGATAAAACCTTGGTCAGTCTCTATATATGTGTTTTTTTATTTTGCTGCTGCGTCTTGGTGTGCCCCGAAACGGCCGGTCCCGGTTCGCGGCCCGGCGGGCCCTCTGTGGACCGTCAGGAATAGTGCTGGGCTGAGTTCGGCGCGCGCCCGATAGTGCTCGGCGACGGCGGCTGCGGCGGCGGGCCGCGGCCCTGGCCGCCGTTTGTGGCACACGGCCACTCTCTAATGCCACTCTCTCACGGAGCGCGGCGCCTGGTGGCCAGTTCTCAAACTTCAGAGTTCTTCGTTTTCCGCACGGGGGCAGCAGCCGGGCTAGTTCCGCGACCGCCCGCCAGAGTGGGCGGGTCGACAGCTGCCGCCGATTGGTTGGCTGTAAGTGCGCGGCATACTCGTCCTGGATTGGGGCTGTTGGTTTTATGGCTACATTTATGCGTCCCGACTATATGCGGCTAAACGCGAAGTGCAGCGTCTATTACCGAGAAGGCAGACGAAGTCGATGCATGCACCGAAGTGGAACGCAAATGCGAGATGGATGGAACACGCCCAAGGGAATGTTCATTCCGCTCCTGAATCTGAGCAATGATGCTCGCCCTGAAATAACTCGTCTTAGGCCAAAAGCTCTAACGGATGGCGCACGAACAATTGCACGGCAGCTTTTTGAACCTGTCAGGCATGCCGTTATGCTTTGCTGCTCCCGCCAATGGGTTTCGCTGTCATTCCAGGTTAAAATGATATTCTTCAGGCATTTATTTCGGACGTGAGTGCCGGTATGTTTGTGCCGTGTGGAGCCCACGAGCCTGGTTGTAGCAGACGAAGGGATGATGCGAATGTGGCGATCTAGCTAGGAATATGTAGTAAAGCGTTACACGAAACCCTCTGTCTTAAGCAGCCTGAGACCTCTGTAAACGGCTACTCGGTTTAAATGACACCTTAATATACGGGCGAAGAGCCGTATGCTTATGCTGTGCCTCGCCGATTTTCAGCGGACCCAAAAGAAGCCGTGAAGAGCCCCGTTCCTATCGCGCCGTGCCGGTGTCCCCTTGAGGGTGCTGAAGTGCTTTGTGAAAGGCCACATGTATTGCTCGTGACCTGACGCGGCCGCATTTTCCAGCTGACCCTGAAGGACTCCGTGATGGGCCACGTGCAGCCGATGGCGGCGTCCCCTCTGGAGGAAGAGGTCCGCAAGCGGCCCCTGGACGGACCCGAGGACGGCGCGCCGCACAAGCGGCTGAAGGCGGCCGAGGCGTGGTGCAACGAGACACCGCCGCCGTCGCCGCACGAGTCCTCGTCCGACGCCAGCGAGGACGAGTCGGATGAGGAAGACGAGGACGAGGAGCCGGAGCGCGGCTACCAGGGCAGCATCCTGGCGTCATGCCTGCTGTCTGACAAGCGGACGGCGTTTGCGCCGGACGCCGAGCCGGCCTACAGCCCGGCGTGCGAGCTGGGCCGCGCAGGGCCCGCGTTCGGCGGCTGGTACCCAGACAGCGGCTTCCAGCGGCCGCAGAACCAGACGGTCGAGTGCGACGGTAAGAGCTACATCCAGCTGGGCGCGGTGCCGCCGCGCCGCGAGCGCTCGCAGTTCTACCGGTACCAGCGCTTCACCGTGCTGCACGCCACCATGGTGAAGCTCAGCCGACACCGGCGCATGATGGACCCGCTGCTGCGCAAGTCGGTGCTGCTGTTCAACACGATGCGCCACATTGAGCGCGAACTGGAGCAGGAGGGGCTGAGTCTGGCGGCCGCGTTCAACCCGCACCACTTCGACAGCGGCCCGCTGACGCTGGACCCGCCGCCGCCGCCGCAGACGCCTCCGCCGCCGGCGGCTGCCGCGGCGGCGGGCGCAGCGGCCGCCACCGCGCCCGCCACCGTCTCGTCGTCGCCCGGCAGCGACAGCGGCTTCGGCGAGGACGAGATTAACTGGGGTTCGGTGCTGAGCCTGAGCAGCCAGCCGGAGCTGGAGCTGATGGCGGCCGAGGGCTGCGCGCCGGCGCTGGGCGGCGAGCCAGGCTGGCAGCTGACGCCACTCTCCGCTGATGACGTGCTGAGGACGTTCCCAGGCGACAAGCGCGACGACGGCGACGGTGGCGGCCTCACCTCCCTACTGGCTCTATAGCCGGCCGACGGCCGGAGAGACACTGCCGATACCTGACAGCGTCTGTGTGTGTGTGTGTGTGTGTGTGTGTGTGTGTGTGTGTGTGTGTGTGTGTGTGTGTGTGTGTGTGTGTGTGTGTGTGTGTGTGTGTGTGTGTGTGTTTGTGTGTGTGTGCGTGCGTGTGCGTGTGCGTGTGCGTGTGCGTCTGCGTCTGCGTCTGCGTCTGCGTCTGCGTCTGCGTCTGCGTATACGCGGGAGAGAGAGAGAGAGAGAGAGAGAGAGAGAGAGAGAGAGAGAGAGAGAGAGAGAGAGAGAGAGAGAGAGGTAGTGGGAGGAGTACATACGTCTGCGCCGATCGGTCCGCCGGGCCCAGGGCCGCTGTGATATTGAGTACCTGTCCTGGCCGCTAGATGGTAGCACCGGCAGCTCGGCAGGGCCGACGAGCGAGCTGTATTTTTTGTATCGCGGTTTTCTGCTTGGAGGCTCAAAGGCGACGTTGCGTCCGGCTGCCAGTAGCGGCAAGGAGGCTGTGACGTACCGGTTGGGTCAGGTCGGGTCACATTTGTCAGACGATAGTACAAAGGATCGCACGGTGTAGAAGGAGCAATAACGGACGCTCAAGAGACTCACCGAGGTAGCGTAAGGAAAAGACAAACCGCGCGCGGCGAGCAAAGCGCGGTCCTGTGAGGTAGCAGGAGCGTCCCAGTCCTAGGGAATCGCAGAGTCTTGGATGCGTGATTTCAGATGATTGCTCCGGCTTCGCTTGCTGAATCTTTGTTACAATTGCCTGTCACATTTTAGTGAAGATCTGTCTCTGACTGGTTTCGGGACTATCGCCGACGCCGAGGAATAATTTCCTTCTCGGGAGGACCGTTTTGACCACGACGCACTGCCCGTCCACGCAGTTTCCACTGACCAAACCGGCCAAGTCCGCCAGCGTTCTCACTGCTCTTTCGACCGCATGCGACGAACTGTGTGGGGGCTGGCACTTTTGGCAATCAGCAGGTAACCCATGATCGCGTGAGTGCAGTGGCTGACCGACCCACCTGACTGTCAGGCGTTGTGCGACGCGATGCCATGACCGGCCGTCCACGCCAGCTGAGCGCGCCACGGCTGAATCAGACACGAACTCGCCGGAGGGTTTGTTGTCGTTGCTCCCGCCCTGTGTTCGGTGTCATTCGTAACTTGTCGACTCGCAACCCAGCTCGTCTGCACGAAGAGCTTGAGTCAGCTGTTGCGGGATCGATCGGGTTGTACCGCGCGGCCAGACACAGAAGGCTTTCGAACCGTGTGGTAGTTATTTTACTTGCTTGTACCTAGCCACCCGGATCGCTTCCGTCGAGCGCAGCTTGTGCCGGCCTGACGCGTGGTCTTCTGTGCGGGACCGTTTTTTCTGCGCGACTCGTTTTGCTCGGGATGGACCAGTGACGTCGGACTTCAGAGTGTCCGGCCATAGCTCGTAGCTGCGCCGCATTGGGTCATGTCTATGGAGTATTATATATATCTATATATAATGATGCTGTTACTGTCATGTTTGCTGATGGGCACACATGATTTTCGCGTCATATTTCGATTTATTTATTGCGATTCCGCAGCTTAAGACTAGGCGTCGATCGAACGCACCGATGGGTGGAAAAGAGCCTCTGGAACTTCGGCGGCGGGACTCAAACGACTGGTGCGGTCTGCGAGAGTCGCCCGCTGATTTTGTCACAATATCAACAGTCCATAATCAAAGCTACTAGAGCGGCCATAATGCCCCATGTTTGATCTTCGGCATGTGATTGTCGAAGTCATGCCTAGCTCGCCACACAGCCTGGGAGTTCACCGGCTCCACCTTATCGCCCCAATTTGCAGCTGAAAGTCAAAACCTGTTCAGGTGTCGCTTGCTGTCAAAAGCGACACGCTCATTTTAGATTATCGTAACACACAAATTTATATGATGTTTTGTACTTAGTGTAAATATTTGTATTCCATTGCAGAATAAACGTGCAATGCCTGACCCCTGTGTGTTTAGTACCACAGGATTAGCAAGTGATGGTGCCAACGCTGATGCTGGCGGACGAAAAATGATGCTATGACAAGGCGAATCCAGACTGGCCGACAACAGGATGCAGCCGACAAAGCCATTATTAAGGATCATCCAGACTGGTTGAAAGCACAAGGCAGCCGCCGGCACGGTCACCATGAATGGTTATTCAGACTGGTCCACAACACAAGGCAGCTGCCGGCACGGTCACCATGAAGGGTTATTCAGACTGGTCCACAACACAAGCCAGCTGCCGGCACGGTCACCATGAAGGGTTATTCAGACTGGTCCACAACACAAGGCAGCTGCCGTCAGGGTCACCATAAAGGGTTATTCAGACTGGTCCACAACATAAGGCAGCTGCCGACAGGGTCGCCAAGAAGGGTTATTCAGACTGGTCCACAACATAAGGCAGCTGCCGACAGGGTCGCCAAGAAGGGTTATTCAGACTGGTCCACAACACAAGGAGGCTACCGACAGGGTCACCATGAAGGGTTATTCAGACTGGTCCACAACATAGGGCAGCTGCCGACAAGATCACCAAGAAGGGTTATTCAGTCTCGTCCACAACACAAGACAGCTGCCGTCAGGGTCACCATGAAGGGTTATTCAGATTGGTCCACAACACAAGGAGGCTACCGGCGGGGTCACCTGTCGGCGATCATGCTCCAACGACAGCCGAAAGAAGCCACAGAGCAGGCGCGCAGCCATTCCGGGCCTGAGGCACGTTGCTGGGAGCATCGGCTACCAGCTAGGCAAGTTCTGAAGGGTACCCAAGGTACCCGGCAGATCACCCGCCCTAGGCAGTGCGACGTGGACGTAGCGTTCTTCAGACCACCATAACATCTGACAGGTGGCAGACGTGTCCGACGTGCGCTCGCCGCGATCTCCAGCGCGCGATCTCCAGCGCATGTTCTCGTGCTGGAGACACAGAACCACGCATATGGCGGCAGAATCAGCCGATAGAAGACCTGGACTTAGACTTAGAAATTATGTAATTCAGAGTAAAACCCCACGGTGAATAGTATGTGATTTGTGCAACCAGATGCACGTCGTCTTCGCGCACGACGTTGGCGCTGTGTCAAATCATTGACCAATGTTTTTGGACGAAAAGATCAATGTTTTGCTCCTAGCCCAAAACATTGGTTTGCCCATACGGATGGAGCGCTTTGCAGGCAAAATTGATTGCAAGGTATATAGCTTGCTGTCAATGCACCGATAAACTTGTCAGCTGCAAAATACACAGCGTAAAACGTGCATATGAAGCTCGAAGGAGCCTGACGATACGGGTATTGTGTTTAAAACGGATCGTCAGGACAGCGAATTAAAATTGTGTTCCTAAAGCAACTGCCTTGCATAGTGGAATCCACGGCCCCCTTGGTGAGTGTTTCCCAAAGGTGTTTCCCTCGGTGAGTGTTTCCCAAAGGAAACCCATGACTTCCCAGAGAGCTCATGGCGTTCTCTAGACACTTGTGGCTCCGGAACCCTTTTATGGTTCTGTCAGCAATTTGCATGAATCCTGTTCCAGTTACTATCTTTGGACCCAAATAATTCCCACAAAATAAGTTGGAGAGTTGTTCGAAAGTTCAGTCCTCAAGGCCATTGTTTGCCCTGATGACGGCATGACAGAAAATGCACAGCAGATTCGAATTGATCATTTGCAGCATTACACTGCAACCACTTCTCAGCTTTCAGCTTAAAACAAAGATGAGAAAACACCCGTCCAGCGGAGGCTGTTTATCGCAGGTTTGAAATCAAATCCCTGCAACCGGTTAGATGCGCAAGCTAAAACCGTCCTTATCCAGGGTGTCAGTTGTCCTATTTTTTTATCGGCGATCTTGGAAGATCTGAGTGTCGCTGGTGTCAATTATGAAGCATCTGCCAAGCCGAAACAATCTTCATTGACAGTCCCACCGTTTTGTTGCGTCCCTGGCTGTTGACGTGTGCAGGATTCAAAGCGTTGACAGGGTCCTGAAATAGCTGCAACGGCTGCCCACGAGCGACGACTCGTATTGGGTCAACAGCTCGTATTAACATGGCTAAGCCATGGTGTCTGAAATGTTCAACATTTACTCAGAATTAAACAGGTTGGTGGAGATACTTCAGACGCTATGGTTCTTTGAGCTGAGCCTTGTTTCCCTAAGTTGTTTTTCAAGAGAGATTCCAAACACAACGTGCCGCTTATGTAACGCGGCTCTTGTTATATGGATATCATGCGGCAAAAATACGCTGCCCAATAAGCAAACAGCACGATTATCGTCAAATACAAATGATGCTAATGGGATATTTTTGGACAAACAGTGCACAAATATTGCAGCGTAGGAATGAAGTGGCTGGTGAAGGAAAAGTGGAATCTGGACATTAGTATGAAAAGGCAACTGAACGAATGGAAAAATGGAGCGCAAATAATTTAACACAAATAATCGCTAGGGTTACATGGACAGAGATAACTGTTGAAATGGGGCGTTAACTGGTTATGCATTTGTTGATCACGAGGCACCATGGACACAGCTTGAGACGTCGAGGTTTCACCCAATTAGCGATGTTTGCTTGGCAAACATCGCTAATTGCGTATCCCTTGCGTATATACGTCATAACGTCTGATGAGAGAATGCCTGAGCGAAAACTCAAAAACGGCTCCTTGTGTTTCTGCGAAATAATTAAACTGTAC